TGATTTATATTAATTATTATGCAACTTCCTTTTTCTTCCATTTGTTATCTATTTTTTTTATAGCTGCTTTCACTTCCCCTCTAAACCAGGTCGATTTTTTTAACTCATACGGCCTTCCTCCTCAATTGTGGCTTTTTGGGCATCTAGTAAAGTATTCTTAAACAATTCCCAATTATCATTCAAATTTTTCTGATTAAATTCTTCCTCTCAGCTGATTTGGTTCATAACAAAGTTTTCAGCTTTGTGAAATTGGCCACTTTTAATATTGATTTAGTGAACCAATTTTAGAACCTGTTAGAATTTGGGGGGGTTAAATTTCCCAGCATAGAACAGACATGTGTGTGCACGTCAGTCAGACAGATTTAATGGGGTTTATTAGGCTGGAAACGCAAATGCAAAGACTTAAGCCATCTAACATATGGGACTAGTGTTCTTTAAACAACAGCTCTTTATGCGGTAGTGTTAAAGGTCAGAAGTCCATTGGGAGCATTCAGGAGCAAGAAGACCTGCTGGCAAACGGGAGCATTGCTCACCTTCTTGTTAAGGGCAGTGAGCAGCTCCAGCTTTCGTCAGCTTCTCTGACACTATGGGCTGGTCCACACTAACCCCCCACTTCGAACTAAGATACGCAACTTCAGCTACATGAATAACGTAGCTGAAGTCGAAGTATCTTAGTTCGAACTTACTGCGGGTCCACACGCGGCAGGCAGGCTCCCCCGTCGACTCCGCGTACTTCTCTCGCGGAGCAGGAGTACCGGCGTCGACGGAGAGCACTTCCAGGATCGATCCCAGAAGATCGATTGCTTACCGCCGGACCCGGAGGTAAGTATAGACGTACCCTAAGAAATGTAACCATGTCTCAGCGCAGTTGTTGGCAGGCTTGTTAGCCAACCTGGGGCTGAATGCATGTAGACAAGTCAGCCCCGGGTCAGTGAATGTGATGGCCGACAGCCATGTTCAGACACAGTTACCTTTTGCACCGGAGACCTGCCCAAATGCTCTGACTCCTCTGAGGCTCTTGTGTGATTTTGCTTCTCTGGGCAGGCGAAATGAGGGTCTCTGCTACAGGATGAGCAGGACTTCAACCTACTTGTGCAAGTGACCTCCCCCGTCAGTGCTGCTCCCTAGTCCTGGCTGATTCGCTTATCTGAACCAGGAGGGTCTAGTCTGGGTGGATCTGTGCTCTTTGTAGTCTCATCTTCACAAGAGAATTGAACCTGAGCAGGTGGGATCACAGCAGTGTGAGCTGTAACTGTGCAATATGTCCCACTAGCCTCCTATTTCACTGGATCAGTGTGATGAGGCAATTTGGCCTCTGGCTCCCTGTTTCTCTTTCCCCCTTGTTTCTCCCCTCAGGTAGCTGATGAGTTGCTCCCAGTCCCCATCAACTCCTCTGTTACCTATGTGTGCATCTGCTTACATCTCTCCGCGGCAGTGCTGCCCGTCTGTTGGTTCAGCACTGATGGCTCTCCACTGCCCCAGAGGGGGCTGCTACACACTCTATTTCCCTGTTCTCCCTTCAGCCAGCCAGCGTCTCTTCATACTGTGCCCCACTTAAAAAGAGTCTGTGGTTTTGGAGACCCTTGTGAGGAAACAGTCACCACAGATTCTGCCCAAGACTTCTCAGCAGCAGGAGAAGGAGGGCCCAGCCGAGCCACCTTGGGCAGCAGAACAAAGCAGTTACAGGCAGGAATTCTTCCCATCCCCTTTCCAGAGAGCTGCTGGCAGCCTGGTCATTCACTGTACAGTCTGGGCTGGAAGCTCCCAATGGACTGACTAGCTGACTCCAGCTGCCACAGACCTTTCCACCCAGATCCCTCTGACGTATCAGTCTGCTCCTTATGGTTGTAGCATCACACGGGAGCAGACAAGGATGTTGGCTAAGGTCACACACACAGAGTCGCACACAAACAGGTGTCTGAATCCCAAGTGACAGCTGATGATCTTTCAGTCCACAGGCTGTTCCTTTTCCTTCGATCCCAAACCCTTAAGGAGAATCACCGAGATTGAGCAGCTGCCTCTGGCTTGGTGAAATTTGCGTCTACTTATCCCAGCTCTGTTTTGGCCCTCACTCTCATTTGCAGGAGGCTCTGCAAACGCTCTGTTTGAGCCCATAGCTTTGATCTCCACTGTAAATTTTTCACAAGGACTAGGCTCTTTGTTGTGTATTGTGCAGTATTGTGCCTAAAGCAGTGCATCTACTTTTCACTGGGACCAGAACATTTCTCCTTGCAGCCTTTGCTCAGCTCCTGAATTGGAGAGGGCCCATGACGTTCTCAGGATTTGAAAAAAGCACTTACATTTTATAATACTGGATGTGATCACTTTGATACTTTAGCTCCTGGAAGTGCTGCCCTTGGCCATAGAGGTCTCAGAAACATAGCAAAAAGCATGCATTTGATTGCAGCCTTCAGTTTGTCTGCTCTGTAACTCTCCCTCATGCTGCGCTCAGCGTCTCTGAACCTGGTAGTCTGGCGTGGTGGGACTCTGACTCCTATGGGAGAGAGGTTTACCCAATGATTCATGTTCTGGGATTTGCAGCTACCAGTGCAGATCCCCTGTTTCAGTTGGACAAATTACCTATTCAGAAAGAATTGACTTGCAGTGTTTGTTACATTGCAATAAAAACTTTAGTCCTGTCAACTGTGAGCCTTTGTCCCTGGAGGGAGTGGCCTGGAGGGGGGTGGTTTGGGTGGCTCTGCTGCTCTCCATAAGTAATGTTCTTTTCCCTTGGAGAAGCAGAATAGACTCTTGAGAGTGCTCTCAATCCCAGCACCTGAATAACCAGGGACTGTTTTTCTTTGTAGACCGTATCTATCCTGATATGTGCCAAGAAATCTGTGCCTGGAGAGAAGGCACATGTTGACTTATATGTGGACCTCTCTGACCCTCCTTGACGTCTCTCTCATCCCCTACTTGAGGGATTATTGTAAATCTAGCACTCCAGGCAGGACCACTTCTACCTGATATGGTGGCGTTCTCTTTTCTTGTTCAGGGACTGGATCCCCCACGCAGAGCGATTTCTGTTATGCAGATCCTACAGTGCCTGTCTTTATTTACCACATACACTAGTGCAGTGGTTCTTAACCGGGAGGGGTCTGGGGTCCGCAGGCTGTTTTCAGGGGGGCGGCGAGGCCACGGCTGAAGTCTGGAGCCTTGGTGCCCCCCGTGGGGCTAAAGCTGGGAGCCATGAGCTCCAGAGTCCTCCACAGGACTGAAGCCAGGAGCTGCAGGGTCTTAAACCAAGCCCTGGTGCCCCCTGCGGGGCTGAAGCCGGGAGCCGTGGCACTCCCTGTAGGGCTGAAGCCGGAAGACCATGGGCAGATTTGTGGGGGAGGGGCCTCGGGAGGGCGTTGTCCCCCCCCCTCCAAACTGCAGTGCCTTATCCAGAGTGAGGCAGTCCTGAGGGCAGCTCCACACCCCCCTGCCCCCACATACACATACACACTTTCTTCTCTCCTGCAGTCCCCCTAGACCCTGCCCCCTGGCCAGGTTGGAGGCTGGAGCTGGGTAGTGCCGGGCAGCTGCTGCTTTGGCTGGTGCCATGGAGCGGAAAACTGCGGCATTCCCTGTCTCCTGCTGCTGCTGGTCACCAGAGTTGTGGCTGCTCCCCAGCTCCCAGCCCCCTTTGACTTCTCGGGCAGCTGGTAAGACCCGCCCAGGCGGGGGTCCCAGCTCCAGGGCCAGCAGAGCCCTCGGTGAGCAGCGACTGCAACAAGGTGTGCCCGCCCCAGCACACAGCTCCAGATACTCCTCTCCCTGCACCCTGAGCTACATGCTTCACTGCACACAACTCCTAGCTACCCCCTGCCTGCACACAGCTCCTAGTTTAGTGGTCCCCAATCTTTTTTGTCTGGCGGGCGCCAGACGACGAGCCATGGAGGGCTGTGGCGGTGGACGAGCATCCGCCGAAATGCCGCCGACAAGCGGCAACGTCAATAGGCATCAGCGGCATTTCGGCGGTGATCCCTCTGGATGACGCTGCTTGTCGGCGGCATTTCGGCAGATGCTTATCTGCCAGCCAGTACGCGGGCGCACTTAGACGCCCCGGTGGGCGCCATGGTGCCCGCAGGCACCGCGTTGGGGACCCCTGTCCTAGCTACTCCCTGAGCTACCCCCTGCCGGCACACAGCTCCTAGCTACCCCTCTCCGTGCACCCTGAGTTATACGCCTCACTGCACACAGCTCGTAGCTACCCCTTGAGCAACCCCCTGCCTGCACACAGCTCCTAGCTACTCCTCTCCGTGCATCTTGAGCTACATGCCTCACTGCACACAGCTCCTAGGCCCTAGCTATCCCTCTCCCTGCACCCTGAGCAGTTTTCAAACTTTTTGAGCTGAGTCCCCCCCCCTTTGAATTATAATTGTTGGTTGTGCCTCCCTACCCTGCTGAGGTGATTAAATGGGGGGATCCTAACAGGACAGCATAGATAATACCCCCAAGGAGCTAATGCCGAGGCAGGAACGGGAGTGACACCCTGCAGTGAAACATAGAACTGTTTGGGCTGGAAGTTCGGAGGAAGTTCTTACGGAAGTGGCTTTAGGGAGTAGCATAGAACACCATTGCTAAAGGCAAGTTTGAAGAGTAGGTTTAACGGAGTTCAGACTTCATTGAGAATAACTGGATTTGGTGAACGGGGTCAGAGCCCTGTCCCATATAGTCTGATATCCGTCTCTTGTGCTGGGCAGTCTTAGGTTCCTGATGGATCTTGACCACCATCCTGCTTCTGCCAGTAACTATTGGATGAAACGTAAGAGGAAATGGCAGCCCTGCCTCCCCCTATTAATGCACTTGTTGTGCAGTGGGGAGAAGACAGGGAAATGGATATAAGACTGATGAGGAAGGAGCCTCTTCAACAAGAACCCTGTCATCTGTCCTGGGGATGCTATTTGGCTCCGGATGTCAGAGGGTTGTGTGGCACGTGGTGCTGGGATGTGTGGGGAGGTTTGTACATCTTACCCAGCTCATGAAGTCTTTGTTGTTGTTTTGTTCTGATCCAGGACTTCAGACATGGATCTGTTCCGGGTCTGCACCTTTCTCTTCACACTGATGTTGTCCAGGGGCAGCTCTTCAGACACAGAGAAACAGAGCATAGACTCTGGGTTGGAAATCTGTATCCTTCTCTCCAGGCCTGCGCTTGGGCTGTGAGTGAGGGCGGGCGGAGGGAGGACTGCAAGAGCAGTTGACAGGTATTAGAAGGATTAAGCACCGAAGAGGGAAAGGAGTTATTGAGGGGGCCTCAGGGTTAGAATTACAGATAATGTGAACTAAGGAAAATGCAGACTGAATATTGGGAACTATTTCCTCACTGTGAGATCTAAAACACTGGGGAACAGTCTCCAGGGGCAATGGTGGGAACTGCATTAACTGAATCAGGTAGAGCTGGGCTGAGAAGAGGAATTGCAAAGACCAAGCCTGTGTTAGCCAGGCGATAGGTGATGAACTAGATGACCCTGAGTCTGATTTCTCTGATTATGGGATAGCATCAGAACTGCTGAGCTGGCACATCTTTGCTCTTCTGTAGGGAGGATTTATCTAGGCTCAGTAGTTTGCTTATATAAGACCCATTTCGCTTCATTCTTTTATCCTTGGTTAGCATAGAGGCAGATTCTCAGCTTGGCGCAGAGTAGGTACAGATTGTATTCTAGACAAGAGTTTCAGCCACAGTGTGGTGACCTGTCCTGTGCTCCCAGGAAGAAAAGTACAGTGACCCATAATACACTTTTTCTCCCCGCTTCCAAATACTCTCAGTGAGATTCTTGCAGGAATTGTCGGGGTTTGTCCTGTCTTAGTCCATATGAATTCTCCAAAAATAATCCCAAATCTCCCACAGGGCTGGGATCAAAGCCAAAAGGTCCTATTCCTTCCAGGTCTTAGAGATCAGCCGGGCAATTCTCTTACCAATCAGCATATACCACCCAGTCGCTATTGCTTACTTCTTCATCAGGTAAAGTGACTGATCATGCACTGGTGAGTTTGGTGCTGCTCCATTGACTTCCCTGGAGCTATGCCAGTATACATCAGCTGAGGACCTGGACCTTACTTCTCTCTTCTTAGCTTGGAGTGTGACAATCTGGAGTGCTGTCCTTTAAGTGAACCCTCAAGGAACCAGTCAAAATAATTGCCTAGTTGAAGTGACTTTTAGCTTAAAACTTTAACCAACTTACACTATGAATGCATGGGGCTATCTCACCATGATTGCCTGACACTGTTGCTATTGGTGAGGGGCTGCTTTGTACATGATTTCACTCAGCCTGGTCTATGTCTCTTCTGTGTTTATCATTCTTACTGGGCATCAGCAGCTGACATGGATCCTTCCTGTCTGTGCCAGCCTCTCCTGGTGAAGGGTTAATCAAATCGGCATTGCAGGATGCTCAAAGCCCCTGGTGTATTGCAGGAGAGGTTGGGAATTAACATGAGTTCAGAGTGGCTGTTCTGGGACTGCCAGTCATATCAGTGGGTTGTAAATGTTAAGCTCGATATAAGTGCTTAGTATTTATTAAATGCCTCAAGGGGGTTGTTGGCAGATGTCTGTGTTGCAGGGTTGTTAAAAGCCTGCTCCTGTTTCCCATCTATGAACTGATGGAGCGGATAGGCTCAGTCACTTACACCCTGCCCTCAGACACCATGGAGGCCCCATAAGTGATTGGTTGTACTGGGCTGGGCGGTCTCTCTTCTGGAACACTGCATGGGTCAGTGCATCTCAGCTGGAAATCGTTGAGTTTGGAGTTGTGGGAGGGAAAAACTGTTACAGGCCCATAAAATGAGATCGTGGGGCCGAGCCCAGCTCTGGGAAAGAGGGAAGTGGCCTGTCTGTGGGAGACTATGGGCGGGTGTGTGTGTGTGTGTGTGTTTCCTAACGGTGTATCTACACTGCCTTTGGGAGTGAGCCTCCCATCCCAGGTCCACAAATGTGTGCTGGCAGGGCTCGTGCTAGTGCATTAAAAATAGCTGTGTAGATGCTGCAGTGATGTTGTAGCTCAGGCTCTCGAGCATAGGAGGGCGGGGAGGTTCTGCACAGCTATTTTGAGCACAATAATGCGAGCACCGCCAACACAACTGTGTGCTCCCGGGCTGGGAGACTCGATCCCAGATGCAATGTAGACATAACCTCAGAGGCCTCAGTGTTGGACTCTGCGATGCTGTCAGGAGGCAGGGCCTGGTCCAGCAGTGAAGTCTGGGCAGTGGGCGCGATCCTTGACAGAGCTGCAGATAAGAAGCTGTTTGAGGTGAAGCGCAAGGACCAGATGAACGCTCTGAAGAACCTGATTGAGCTCAACGACGTGAACCAACAATATAAAATCATCGACATCATGCTCAAGGGACTCTTCAAAGTGAGCGTCACCCACTAACTGCCGCCCCCATCCCTCCTCCGGGGCTTTGGGTGCTGCTGGGTGCTCTTTGGGAGCCCAGCCCTCCCACCAATGTCTGAGCAGGGAGGGCTCAGTACAACTTACCCTTATCCCATGTTCCTGAGGGTGTGTCCCAGCCCAGAGCACCACAATGGGAACGTGACAACGGGGAGGAGGGGAGAAGAAGGGGGTTGATAAGAGTGAGCAGTGGGGTTGGGAACTGGACCAAGGTCACTGGGTGTGAGAGGGCGGGGCTATGTTTTAAAACAGGGTGGGAGAGTCGGGGCAGACTGCACCAGCAAAAAGGAGGAGAGGGAGTGAGAGGAGCCTGGAGCTGGCAGGATGCCTGGGGTAGGCAGGAGAAACATCAGATCTGGGAGGCAGATGGATTCACTGAGTTCACTTTCTGAATGTTCAGGTGCTGGAGGACTCCCGGGCTGTCCTTATAGCCGCAGATGTGCCTCCAGATGGGCCCTTCCCTCAGGACGAGAAGCTAAAGGATGGTAGGACTTCCTCTCCTTTTAATCCCAGTTTCCACTTCCAGTGCTCTTTCATACTTCTCTCTCCCTCTCATTTGCCATTTCAAATGGGCTCAGTGCAGGAGTAACAGGGGAAATTCGATGGCCTGTGTTGTCCAGGAAGTCTGACTAGATGATCTAATGGTCCCTGCTGGCCTTAAAAATCTATGAAAATCTGGGAACCCTTTCTCATCCACTTGGCTCTTTGTCCTGCTTCCTGCATCATTGTTGCCAGCGTTTAGAAGATCCTGGGATGGGAGTGGAGCCAGGGGACTCTCCCAGTGATCTGTGAGGCAGAACAGAATCTGGCTGTTTCTTCTGCATGGCTGATGAAAAGTAAGCACTTGGCATTCTGTCCAGTGTGCTGAACAGGGAGGACATTGGAGACCAAAAAAATTGATTGGGCCACCTTGTCTGGTATCCTGTCTTCAACGGTGTTCAATGCTGAATGATTCAGAGGGAGGTGTAAAACCTCCCATAATGCATCTCTTTGTGCAATGCTATACAGAATGTGGAGGAAGAAATTTCTTCTTGACCCCACCTAATGATTAGTTTATGACCTGAAGCATGAGGATTGAGAGCCCATACATTGTAGAGGAACACAAGAACCTCTGTCAATTACCCTCTTTTTAAGCAGTTGCTGGCCAGTAATGGTTTCAGAAGAGAAAATCACTCCAAGGTTGGGGAGAGTTGTATTTTATCCTGTCCACAGCCTATGGGCCAGTATCTATGATGGCTGGAGGGTTGATTTATGAAGGAAACAAAGACCATCAGACAACTCCCACCCAGAGAGAGATGCACAGATTGGTATCTGAGGGATGAATTCAGCCCTGTGGGATGACTGAATTGTCTTTGAGAATTTGGCCAAATGATGGCGGGAGGGAGGGTGGAGGCTATGCAAACCTTCTAAAGTACCTGTAGGCTGTAAACGGCAAGCAGAGGGGGAAGATGAACCAAGGGGGGTTATAACTGACTTTAAAAGCAAGAAATGGACCAAGGGAAAAATTGGGCTGAGTATAAAAACCCACTTCCTAACACCTAGGTCTATTATACAGGAGAGCAGTCTCCCAAGGGGAATGAGTGCTGGAGGCCACATCACCTGAGTTATTTAAAACTAGACTAGACGAGGCCCCTGAAGTTGGTAGTGTATGGAATAATCCTGCATTGGCCAGGTCTGAAGAGGGTGAGGCTCTTCCATCCCTCATCTCTGTCAGTAGGAAAGCGCAGTCTTCTGCCGTGTTTATTAGCGCCCTGCTGAACCAAACCCAGCCAGGGGTGCCCACTCGTTGGGACGTCTGCTGACTGGAGCAGACGTAAACAATTAGAAGCCTCCAGTCACCCAGGGCTTGCTGTGTTTGAGGGCACATCCTGCATGTCACCGCTTAAACTGGGACTGTTATGCAGTCCTTTTGGCAGCTTAAGAGGAGGGCTTTCCCCCTGACCTGGCCACGCAAGTAGGGGCCACGCCAAGAGTTTCTTGGCTGGAAGGCGATCTCTGCTGGCTTACATGCAGAAGGAAGTGGACATGTGTATGTGCAACAAGACCCTCTGCTGACTGTCCCTGTGACTCCGCCCCTAGCCTATTCCCACGTGGTGGAGAACACTGCTTTCTTTGGAGACGTGGTTCTGCGCTTCCCCAAAATCGTCCACCATTACTTTGACCGCAACTCCAACTGGAACAACCTGGTCCGCTGGGGCATCAGCTTCTGCAACCAGACGGGCGTGTTCGATCAGGGACCTCACTCCCAAGTGCTCGGACTGGTAAGGCTCTGCGCTTATCATCCTGACTCCCGGCATGGCCGGCCCCCCTGGAGGCAGGGAACAGGCCGAAGGGAGGGGGGATGACTGCGGGTATTGGACTGGAGAAATGGGTAGAGAAGAGAGTCGAGAGGGGGAGAGATGGGGCTGGAGGAGAGGGAGGAATAAGAGACGTGGGGCAGGGCATGGAGCAGAAGGGTGAGATGCTCTCCAGCACTGACTTTCTTTTGATCCACAGATGGCTCAGGAGCTGGGAATTAGTGAGAAATCTCCGGATTACCAGAATCCCTTTAAAACCGACCATTCTGAGGTAAAATGGCAAAACCACAAGTCAATCCCTGTGCACGTTTCTTCCTCCACCTTTATCCTCTGCTGTCAGGGTTCCCTCCTCACTCTGAACTCTGGGGTACAGATGTGGGGACCCGCATGAAAGACCCCCTAAGCTTATATTCCACCAGCTTAGGCTAAAAACTTCCCCAAGGCACAAATTCCTTTCCTTGTCCTTGGACAGTATTGCTGCCACCACCAAGTGATTTAAACAACCATTCAGAGAGGGGCCACTTGGAGCCCTATCCCCCGCATAATATCCACCCCAGCCCCTTCACTCCCTTTCCTGGGGAGGCTTGAGAATAGTATACCAACCAATAGGTCAACAAAGTGAGCGCAGACCAAATCCCTGGTTTTTAGGACACTGAAAATCAATCAAGTTCTTAAAAGAAGAATTTTATTTAAAGAAAAAGGTAAAAGAATCACACCTGCAAGATCAGGATGGAAGATAACTTTACAGGGTAAATAAAAAGATTTAAAACACAGAGGATTCCCCTTTGACTCTGCTTCCCAGTTACAAAACAGGAATAAAATTACCTCTGAGCATAGGGAAAATTCATGAGCTAAAACAAAAGATAATCTAATGCATTTCCTTTCTATTACTTACAATTTCTGTAATATTAGATGTATCAGTTCAGGATCTGTTTAGGAGCTGGGTTACCTGCTTGGTCTCTCTCTTTGTCCCGAGAGCGAACAAAACAAAAAGAGCACAAACAAAACCTCCACTCCCCCCCAGCACGGCCTCAGAGTTGAGGGCCCCTTCTGCAGTCTGTGTGGCTAGGAGAGTCGGGACTCTGAGCTTATGGGACTGCCTTGGGCAAGTCGCTTAATCTCTCTATTTCTGAATGTCCCCATCGATAAGATGGGGGCAGTCGTACCTGCCTCACAGAAGAAATTGGGCCCGATTTGCCTCTTGCTTAGTATCTGATCTAAAGCCCACGGGAGTCATCAGGAATCTGTTCATGGGCTTTGGATCACCTGATTTCTCCACTGACGTCAGTAAGGCTACAACTGGCAGAAGGGAGTGGAGACTTTCCCCCCTTTACGGATTAAGAGATTTAATTAATGAACATTGTCAGGCTTCCCGAGACCGCTAAGGCACTGGGATTGCTTTTCCTGTCTGCACCCGTGCGGAGCTGAGCTCCTCCTTGCGCTCTCAGTTTTTCCCCAGTGCAGACACGTTCCAGAAGGCCCTGCGAGAGGAGGAGAAACGGAGAAAGAAAGAAGAGAAGCGGAAGGAGATCCGCAAGGGGCCCCGCATCTCACGCTCGCAATCGGAGTTATAGCGCTGGCACCGACCTCGTCGCTGAGACCCCTGCTGGCGGGAGATGCCGCGCCTGGAAGCAGAGTGTCCTACTCCCTCAGCAGCCTCAGGAGAAGGCTGGGCGGGTCACCTTTAATTTGTTTAATAGTTTTTGTTTTCCTTTTTTCTGTTGTGTATCGAACAAGGACTGGATTGAATCCTGAGAAGGGACTGGACACAGCTCCTGGATACAGCCCCCCCGTGGGGAAGCTCTCCATAGTCATTGGCACACAGAGGGTCCAGCAGAGAACATCCATTGGGTGCATGCATTGTAGGGCTTTGTTGATATTAACAATGAGACTGCATGGAGGCAGGGAAGGATTAGAGTGGTACCTGCCCCCCTGGAACCACAATGCAGGATACAGGGCATAGTTATACTGGGCAGGTCTCTGTTGCAAGCTGCATAGTTATACTGGTCAGAGGGAAAGCATGGTAAGGTGTGTGGTTAGACCAGATACCCACAGGCCTTGGGAACCTTCAGTTACTGGAGAAATACAATGTATCATGTATTAAACATGCTCCCTTCCCCCTGGAAATGGCGGTGTAACTCAGCGGCTCCAACGGTGATGGCACTTTTGTATGGTTCAATTAGCCAGTTAGTCCCTCCCCTGCCACTTATACCAAATCTTGCATTATTGGAACCTCCATCCACCAATCAGATCTCTCCTTTCTAATGGCTGTTTTATTAAAGAAACATAATTTTAAATCTAAACAGACCATTGGCTGATTTGGATTTGAGAGAGCCAACGGGGTGAACCCCCGCCCATGTAGGGGGAGGCAGCCCGCTTTCACAGGGCTGCAGGGGGAAAGGTTGTGTCTTTTTTTGGGGGGGGGTGGAAGGAGAGGGGGGACTGCTGTGCTTGCAAGGACAGACTGAGCGGGCTCCCGAGAGTGTAACGTCACCATAAGACCTCCCAGCAAAGGATCTGGGGTAAAGACTCAGCCTGAACTGTCCCCGCCCCAAAAAAAGTCTCCTTATGCTGGTGGTTTGCATGAGCTGAACTTGTGGTTTCTGGTCTCGGCTCAGTTCCTGGCAAACAGGTGCCCACATGACAATCACTATGGCTACTGGCACTCAGTGGGAGCCTTGACAAAAAGACCAAGGATTGAGTAAGCTATGGAGGCAGAACGCTTCTTCCCCACCTTCCCCCTAGAGAATCCCATTTGCTCCAGATTTGAGGCACGTTGTTGTGGGAGATGCAAAGCCCGTGCTGTGACTATCTTTACTGTAGTTGTTTTGTGGATAAAGAGGGGACCTCAAACTCCATGGGTCCCAGTTTGGCACTTTCAGTCTCACTAAATTCACCTAGTGCTTTGGGTTGTGGATTTTTTTTAATTACCTTTATTTTGCTGTGTTCAAATGAAAAGATACCTACCTACTAGATCACTGTGGCAGGCTGACCTGCCACTACATAAACAGTGGGAAGAAAGAGATGATGATCATGTGTTCTGTCAAAAATGGATTCTTTCCATTGGACCAAGCAACCGACTGTAGATTTAATCGTCCAATCAGAGTTATTGTGAGTGCACTGTTACTGACCTGCTGCCTTACTGGCTCAGAGCAACAAGCCTTCTCTTTTGCATGTGCAGCTATTCCATACAGACATGTTCTTGTAAGTGTACTAGAAATACACTGGCTTCTGACTGATGTTCATTTCAATAGTCATCAGTAAGGTAAAGGTTAGTGATCCAGCCTTGGGCTCAATGCAGCTAAAGCTGTAGTCCAGATCCAGAGCTGGTTGCCAGTTAAATTAATTTGATGGATCTCATTCAAGTCCCCAGTGGATGTTTGCACGTGAGCCAAATTGCGTGGAGGCTTTGTATCAAGTGGTACTCACTGCACAGGGGCTCACGACTGGAACAGCCGGGGATGCTGCAAGTTGGGATTGATGGCCGTTGGCAGAGCTGTGCATGAGTAGCTTGTGCAGCATTCGCCTGGCTCCAGCTAGCGCTATCAGCCCCTCGCTGTCTTGAGCATGAGAACTCAAATTTACTCTCTCAAGATTTGTTTTTGATGCATTTTCAGTCGCTGATCAAATCGCACAGCCCTAGCTTGTTCTTGCTGGGGGATTATCCATCTGTGGGGAATAAGGGACTCTGTCAGGGGACGCTGTAGTCTGACTTGCTGCCTTCAGGCTATTTTACATGGCCAGAGATGGGAAATGTCATTTATTTTTAAATGAAGAGCCAGTTACATTTGTTTTGTTCCTTGGACATGCATTGAAAGGGGAAACCATTTTTTTTCTTGAATAAATCAGAATTTTTAAAATCAAACCATTGTATCTTGTTAGTGTTTCAATGGGAGCTGTTTTGAATCAGGGCATGCCTGGGGGTGTCTCTGTGGTGGGAATGGGTATTGGGCCTGTTGAGAACCTCCTACATTTTAGGAGGCTGGATTGGTGCTGAGATACAATTGGAAGAGTTCTCTTGATCCTGTCTGGTTACCTGCTAAATTAGTTACTGTAGCACTTTAAAGACGAATCTTCCTCTAAAATATACTGTGTCTATATTCCAAAAGTTCTGTCCCACAACTACCACCTGCAGACTGACACAAATACCCCTGGGATGTCTCATTTAACATACACAGTACTATAACTTTGAACTTTTTAATGGTACTCTCTTCCCACAAAAACAACAAGGAGTCTGGTGGCACCTTAAAGACTAACAGATTTATTTGGGCATAAGCTTTCGTGGGTAAAAACCTCACTTCTTCAGATGCAACTTCCCTCACTCCACCAACCTTCTAGGGCCAGATTTTCAAAGGTATTTAGGAGCCTAGTGGGATTTTCAAAATACCCAAGCAGGCTAGTCACCTAATTCTCATTGGTTTCAGTGGGAGTCAGGGGACTAACCTGCTTAGGTGCTTTTGAAAATCCCATTAGTGCCTACCACCTTCATCTTTAAGCACTAAATACATTCTAAAATCTGCCCCCTTGTAGCTGCCATGCTAGATCAGACCCTGTTATGCACCATCAGACCTCTCCTGGGGAAGACATAGAACCCACAGGGCCTGCACTTACCCCTGCTCCTTGCTGGCTTCTCATGCAGTTGGGGAGAGATTTGTTGCTTGCATCTCTCCTTGTTCTGTTCTCCTTCGTACGTATATCTTTGCTCCCTCTCCCAAAGAAAGGATGGGGCTCCAGGAACCAACGTTCAGGTATTATTTTGTACTGCAGTCATGGACTAGGACCCCATTGTGCTAGGCATTGTACAAACAGAAGAAAAAAAGATGGTCCCTACCCCAAAGAGCTTACAATCTAAGTATAAGACGAGACAATGGGTAGAGAGAGAGGGAGAGGAATACCAGGAAACAATAAGACAATATTGATCAGCACGACGGGAAGTGTTCTCAGCTCACCAGCAGCCTGTTGGCAAGTTTTTTGTAGGCAACACAGCAAAAGAGTTTCCAAGAGGGAGCTGGAGGTGGACAGTGAGGTGACCTTGCAGATGTTTATGGGGCTCTGGTCCCAAATGTGAGGGGCAGCACAGGCGAGAGCAAGGATGTGATTGTTTGAAAATGAAACAAGCGGACAATGAAGGCTGGAAGAATGGAAGCAGGAGCTAACATCTCAGTAGTGAATGACAGATGATAGCAAGGGTGGGGATAGGCTATAAAGGTATTATGATGGTGCCCAGCTGCTGTAGCACCTTGGGTTATGATTGCCTCAGAGCCCACAAGTGAAATAAGACTATGCCAGATCACTATTAGCCTGATTTGTCAGAGGTGCTGAATACCCACAACTGGCACTGATTCAATGGAATCTACAGGAGCTCAGCACCTCTGAAATCCAGGTCCTCTATGGTTGGGACCAAGGCAAACAAAGTTGGAAGTAGTGCTCTCCTACCTGTGCTTGGTACTGACCTTGTCCCTCCCAGCATGGTGCTTTGGTTGTGCTGCTGGAGGCACCATCTTTTGAATGGATAATGAAATGGAGACCTGAGTGCGGGGTCATTGAAGATCTGATAACTCTTGCAAAAGCAGGGATACAAATCCCTGGTCAAGTTTCAATTTGGGCTAATTTATGTTTGCCTCTCAAGCCGCTCCTGGCATCTGAGTGGGACACAGGTGGCCTGATCCTTCAGAGCCTGGGTGCGAGGGGGATGGAGGAAGACTTTCCCATGTGAGGTGGGCCACTGCTTGCACCAGCGTCTGTACTGCAGCAAAGATGCAGGATTTGATACAACAGACAGCTTCATGTATGCCAGCCCTCTGAATGCCAGCTCTTCCCACAGCCAAGCATATGGCCAGCTAGTTCTATTGCTTGCTGCTTCTACTATCATAGGTGGAGATGGAAGGGGGCAGGAAAGCCTGACAGAGTATTTGCTTACCAAGAAGGTATAGAAGCTAGAAAGGAATGAGCAGGACCAACAGTCAGCAGTGATGGCACAGCCCCCACTTCTTGAATCTCAGCTGGCTAGTTGTGATCCTGTCAGCTATCCCACAGTTCCCGCCGCCCATTGGAATTCTGGGTTAAGCTCCCAATGCCTGATACGGGCAAAAACATTGTTGCAGGTGGTCCTGGGTACATGTCATCAGTCGCACCTCCTTCCGTGAAAGGAACGGCAGACAATCGTTTCGTCGCCTTTTTTCCTGGGTTAGCCATGCAGATGCCATACCATGGCAAGTATGGAGCCCGCTCAGCTCACCGCCAATGGAACATGGGGAGGCAGTTGGTTATACAGTGGGGGTCTGTGCTCTTGTTGGCTTTCCTGCCGCTCCAACAGACGCTTCATCATGTCCGTTTGCTCCCCCAACGGACGCTTCATCATGTCCGTTTGCTCCCTGTAGAGGTACGGACTCACCCCTGCAGCGCCTCCTGCTGATCGTCTCCGGGAATTAGCTCATTTCAGCATTGGGGCACCCCCTGTAGGCCAGTGGTCCAGCTGTCCTCTGGCCCCTGTGTCTCTCCCGGACCCCAGAGCCCTTTTATGTGGGGTGCTCCCCCTGGCAGTACACCCCTCAGTACTAGGGTCTCCCCTCCCCAGGGAACCCCCACCCACTATCCCTACCTCACCTCAGAATAAGGCCACTACCAGTCACCAACTAGCCCCCGCTCCCTGGGGCAGACTGCGGGATAGGCCACTCATCACTGGCAAGGGGGGTTTGGACCTGCTGCCTTGGCCTACCCCTGGGCTGCCCTCTGCAATCCCCAGTTCCCCTTGGCCTCCTACTGGGCCACAGCCTGGGACTTTTCAGGCTGGAGCTCCCCAGCCTGTCCCCCAGCTCCACTCAGGTATTCTTTCTCTAGCTTGCTGCAGTCAGGCCCTTCTTTCTCTGAGTGCAGAGAGAGACTCTTGAGCGCCTGGCTCCCAACCTTTTTATACAGGCCAGCTGTGGCATGATTGGGGCATGGCCCAGCTGTGGCTGCTTCCCCACTCAGCCCAGCTTTTAGAGCTGCAGCCCTCTGCCAGGGCTGTTTTAAGCCCTTACAGGCAGGAGCAGGGGACCACCCCGCTACACTCCCCCATTAGCCTCAGCATCGCGTCCTGCCTCTGCTCTTAGCACTCACTCAATTCTTTTCTGGCCTCTGCCACCGAATGCCTCCATGCATTAAGCTGTGCCCTCTCAGTGCGGGAGGACTGCATGAGCTTGGAAATCATGTCATCGCGAGTGTGTTTTTTTCGCCTTCTAATCTGCGATAACCTCAGGGACGGAGATGATAGGGGGAGCGTAGAAACATTCTACGCTCTACGATTCTGGGGGGACTGCATGG